AATACAGTTGCCGGTTATCGGCTGCACTTTCCTACTGCCGATAACCGGCAATTGTCAGAAAACAGATCGGCACTGATCATCAGGGCACTGATGATCAGTGCCCTGATGATCAGTGCCCAGCAGTGCCATCCACCAGTGCTACCCACCTGTGCCCAGCAGTGCCCCCCACCTGTGCCCTTCAGTACCTAGCGGTGCCACCCACATGTGCCCATCAGTGCCACCCACCAATGCCCCCCCCCCTCAGTGCCACCCACCAGTGCTGCCCAGCAGTGCCCAGTGCCACCCACCAATGCCCCCCCCCCCTCAGTGCCACCCATCAGTGCTGCCCAGCAGTGCCATCAATCAGTGCCACCCATCAGTGCCACCCATCAGTGCTGTCCATCAGTGCCGTTTATCAGTGCCCATCAATGCTGCATATCAGTGCAGTATCATCAGTGCCAGCTCATCAGTGCCACCTATCAGTGCCACCTATCAGTGCCCATCAGTGCTGCCTGTCCATGCCACCTCATCAAAGCTGCCTATCCGTGCCCATCAGTGCCGCCTATTAGTGCCCACGCAGTGCTGCCTATCCATGCCCATCAGTGCTGCCTATCAGTGCAGATCATCAATGCACATCAGTGAAGAAAAAATTACCTGTTTGCAAAATGTTATAATAGAAACAAAGAAAACATTTTTTGTTTTTAAATTTTTTTTTTTTGCTTATATAAATAATATGAAATAAAACACCCAGTGGTGTTTAAATACCACCAAAAGAAAACTTTATTTGTGTGAAAAAAGGATTTCATCTGGGTACAATGTTGCATGACCGCTCAATTGTCATTCAAAGTACGACAGCGCTGAAAGCTAAAAAATTGGCCGGGGCAGGAAGAGGGTATAAGTGCCCGGTAGGCAAGTGGTTAACTCTCCTCTAATGCCTCTCCAGCTGTTCATTGGCAAGCACAACAGCACTAGAACATGGGTTGTTCAGCATTCCACAGAGCCTCCAGTTGTGGTCAGCAAACAACCACCCATCTCTCTCTCTAGTAGGGTTGCCACCTGTACAGTATATTACAGGATCCTCCTAAATTTCAAAGTAAATTTGCAGATCTCGTATTGATTCAATACAGGGAACAGTTTGTTTCATATTTAGCAAATGGGTACTCAGCACCTTTGGTTCCTAGGACACAGATAACTCGAGCTTCCCAGCATCTTCATTGCTAAGATGCAAGCAGATCATGCCACCTAGCGTTCTTGGTTTCTAGGAGGCAGGCGGCTTACCCTGCCTAGTGGTTGAACAACTAACTCTTGATTTATGGACAGGTAATTAGAATTCAATTTGAAAAGTTGTTTAGGATTTTTTAATAAGTCCAAGAAGGAGAGAAGTGGACATGAAAGCACGTACAAGGGACAAGTCTGAAGAATCTGGGGCGGACTGACCATTAGAAACACGGGCACTGCCCGAGGGCCCGGGGTCAGTAGGGGGCCCCATGAGATGCCCCTGGTACCTTTTTCATAGGCTTTTTTGAGTTTGGGCAAGGACACAGGTGCCCCATGATCCCCTATTGCCCGGGGGCCCCATGAGTTATCAGTCCGCCCCTGATCTGAAGATAAACAAGACTAGGGAATATGATGGGGTTTTCTGAAGACGTGTATTTTTATGGTGCAAACAAATAGCAACCACCCCAATCTTTAACTGGCTTTTGCAACAAGCAGCACATGTGTTTTATGTGTTTTTATTGAGCCTTTGAAGTATTTATTGACAGAATGAAGTATTCCAGAGAAGTGGTGCAACTCAGAATAAATTCTGGATGTGAAAGTGGGAAGTGACAAGGCTTTCGCCTTAACCCTAGTGGATGCTGGGGCATAGATGGCTCACACCGTGTAGTGTCCTTGGATGCTAGGGCACAGGTAGCTCACATCACCTAGCATCCTTGGTTGCTAGGATGCAGGTGACTTCAAGTGTGAATTGTCCCATCTGTTTGAAGCTTCGTTATGTTCGAATGTTCAACTGCAAACCGAACAGGGAGGTATTCAGCCCATCACTACCTATAATTATTTTTAAAATTTGTGCTATGGCATCCTTCTGCAAAACATGAAAATTCAGATTTTTCCAGGCAACAGCAGCCTTAAAAGAGAAGTATGGCTTTTAATTTTTTTTCCCCATTATACTTACCTAGGTGGATGAAGGATCACTCGGATGCTACATTTGTCCCCCGCCAGCTCTACGGATGAGAGAACTCAGTGATTACATGACTGTTCTCACAGCCAATCTGAGCAGAGAGCAGTGACTGACAGTCACCACTCTCTGCTCTTCCCCCCCCCCCCCCCCCCCAGAGCTGAAGTGCTGGGCTGTGGAGGGGGAGGCAAAAGCTGGCTCAGGCTCTCAAAGGCTCACTAAGAGGCTGAGCCAGGTGCCGCTCCAGACTCTGGGGTGGATTCCAACTTTGAAGATGGGATCTTTCCACAGTTTGTACTGTCTGAGTGACCAGAGAAGTGAAGAACGAAATGCACTCCTGTGATCCACAGGAGAAGTACAGCCAAAAGAGCTTTGGCTGTACTTCTCCTTTTGGGCAGTATCAATGAGTTATAGATATACTAGAAAGTTCTCCACTTTGTCACCCTGTGGTGGTTTGGCAGTTGCACCTCCACCTATGAGAGCACACTGGGTCATGTAAAAGAACTATATCTAAGAAGGCCCATTAATGTGCTCCTGCAGTCCCACAGGGGAGTCTTTAAGATTCGTGAGGAAAGTCACTGATTCTTTGATACCCACATTCATGGCTGCTTGAGGAAGCAGAATATATTTGTGAAACGTTCAGCTATTGCCTGCCATCCTCCCTACTGGAAAGAACTACAGTTGCAAGAAAAAGTATGTGAACCCCTTGGGATTACGTGGAGTTTTGCATGAATGGGCATAAAATGTGCTCTGAACGTCATCTAAGTCACAACAATAGAAGAACACAGTCTGCTGAACATAATACTACACAAACATTAGATGTTGCCATGGTTTAATTGCACATAACATGTAAACATTCACAGTGCGGGGGGAGGAAAAAGTATGTGAGGCCCTAGCTTAATGACTTCTCCCAGAGCTAATTGGAGCCAGAAGTGAGCCAACCTTGACTCCAATCAGTGTGATGATATTGGATGTGTTGCTGACACCTGTTTTGGGTTTACTGGTTTCAAGAAGCACTGTCTGATGTGAACCATGCCTGGCAGAAAAGAGCTCTCAGAAGACCTACGATCAAGAATTGTTGACTTGCATGAAGCTGGAAAGGGTTACAAAAGTATCTCCAAAAGCCTTGGTGTTCATGTGTCCACGGTAAGACAGACTGTCTACAAATGGAGAAAGTTTAGCACTGTTGCTACTCTCCCTAGGCGTGGTCGTCCTGTAAAAATGACTGCAAGAGCACAGCGCAGAATGCTGCATGAGGTAAAGAAGAATCCCAGAGTGTCAGCTAAAGACCTACAGAAATCTCTGGCACATGCTAACATTTTTGTTGACACATCTACAATAAGGAAAACATTAAACAAGAATGGAGTACATGGGAGGACACCACGGAGGAAGCCATTGCTGTCCAAAAAGAAGATTGCAGCACGTTTGAAGTTTGCAAAAGAGCACCTGGATGTTCCACAGCACTACTGGCAAAATATACTGTGGACAGATGAAACCAAGATTGAGTTGTTTGGGAAGAACACACAACACTATGTGTGGAGAAAAAAAGGCCCAGCACACCAACATCAAAACCTCATCCCCACTGTGAAACATGGCGGAGGGAGCATCATGGTTTGGGGCTGCGTTGCTGGCTCAGGGCCTGGACGGATCGTTGTCATTGATGGGAAAATGAATTCCAGAGTTTATCAAGACATTTTGCAGGAAAAACGTACGACCATCTGTCCGCCAACTGAAGCTCCGCAGAGGATGGGTGATGCAACAGGACAATGACCCAAAGCATACAAGTAATTCAACAAAACAATGGCTGCAACAGCACAGAATACGCCTTCTGGAGTGGCCCAGTCAGAGTCCTGACCTCAACCCCATTGAAACGCTGTGGCATGACCTTAAGAGAGCGGTTCACACCAGACATCCCAAGAATATTGCTACACTGAAACAGTTTTGTGAAGAGGAGTGGTCCAAAATGACTCCAGATCGTTGTGCAGGTCTGATCTGCAACTACAGGAAACGTTTGGTTGAGGTTATTGCTGCCAAAGGAGGGTCAACCAGTTATTAAGTCCAAAGGTTCACATACTTTTTCCTCCCTGCACTGTGAATGTTTACATGTTATGTGCAATTAAACCATGGCAACATCTAATGTTTTGTGTAGTATTATGTTCAGCAGACTGTGCTCTTCTATTGTTGTGACTTAGATGACATTCAGAGCACATTTTATGCCCAATTCATGCAAAACTCCACGGAATCCCAAGGGGTTCACATACTTTTTCTTGCAACTGTATAATATGTTCACTAAGACATCTAGACATATCTACAAATGCTACATTATCAAGTAGGGGGATAGGCAGTTGAATGTATATGGAAGATGCTATTACTTGTAACTAATGACCAGTTTTAATGTGTTTCTAATAACATTTACGGATTTTGGTCAAATACATTGTTTATGAATTCTCTGATCCTCTCATAAATATGCGCACACCAAAAGTCTCTATCACTGTTTCCAACAGGCTTCTGATGTAAGCCATAGTTTGGCTTTTGCTTACTTGGGATGTGGTGCTGAGATATAAACAGATGGGGAATTAGCACCTTTAAATATTTAACTTTTTTTCACCAAATATTATTTAGGTTTATGTGTAAAAATACCCCAAGTAAATAAGAATCAAACAAGTTGATGACAAATATACGTAGCAGTCACTGTTTCCTATGAGTTAGCTGAAATATCTGTGCAGATAATATGGGAATGGTCAGGTGTCTGGAGGTGAGTAATGGGAACAGACAATCTGCTCACAATGAAGACCTTTATAAACCTTGTCCAGAGCTGACAACGGTCCTTTCAAAATTCCAACAACTCAACGAAGAAGTGTTACCATCAGCTCACTATGCTTTATATCTGGATATGCATGTTCCTGGGGCTTACAGGTAAAACCTAATCACCATCACACCTCATATCATTTCTTTTGCAGCTTGAATTAGAAATTGTGTTGTCTTGAAATGAAGGTATGTTCAGAATATTTTTTTCTGTTTTGGATAGAATGCAGAAAGATTAAAACTTAATAGGTTTTTATTGCTATACATATCCCTGCTAAGTAGCTTCACCTTCTCTTCTCTTTGCTCAAGGCGCCATTGCCACCAAAATGGTTAGTGTTGGGAAACCCAACATTTTCAAGTTGTCATCAGAGAACAAAAGAGAAAAGGGGATATTATCAAAAGGGGACACCTGCTCCAATGTCTGCTTTCCAATAGGGTAACATTCCTTGCTTGGGAAGATTTCCACTCACTACCTATTGCATGCCTTAAATAGGAAAAGCTTGGAATAATAGAAAAGAAGGCATGCCCAATGTCCAAAAGAATGCAAGTTTGATGGTAAATTAAGAGGCGTTTATTGAGAATAGTGACAAGTATATCAAGCCAATACATTTTGGGAGAAAAGGGCTCTCCCTTCCTCAGGGCTGTTACTGCAGACTATTAAATGGGAACTATTCCTACGCTATACAAAACCAAAAAACCAAAGGAATAAAGAATTGAGTAGATTTACTGACACTAAGAGGGTTTCTACTTTACTCCTAGGCCTAAGTTATATATCTGCAAAGTTTTGGAGGTAAAACTAACAAAGTGACAGCTGAGGTTCAGGGGGGCAGCCAAGTCTACATGTGGAAACAACCTTAAGGCTGTACCAGAAAGGCATCAGCCCAAGCCCTAAGAGGGTTCACAACAAGTATCCACCATTGGAAGGGCATCTTCTTAATCACCCACACAATCACCCACCCACAACCAGTGACTGATCCAGTCAGTTCAGCTCGGTCTTCAGCACAAATTAAATAGGAAAGGGAAGGTAAATCTTCTTGATGGGACAAGCAAAAAAAAAAGGATGGCAAATATATTAACCATTTCCTACACTTTACAAAAAAGAAAAATTGCTATATATACAGTTTACATACATACATATATACAATAAGCATATGGAGATGCCAGCAGCATTTAAAAACACTGTAAATCTGATAAACAAGGTTATGGTGAAAAAGTTAATAAAATGAACCTTATAATGCTTACAGAGAAGATAGCCCACCTGCTCAAGGGGTTCTGTTTTTTTTATACAGGAAGTTGGATGATGCCTACTGTGATGCTGCATTCTCAAATAGCAGTCTCAGAGCAAAGCAAAAGGTGAACTTTAATCCTCAATTGTCCCCACTTCTCCACAGAAGCAACCCTTCTTTCACTCCTTCTTCACACCATACAGCTGGTGGGGAAAAGAGGAGCTGCTCTGTCAATGCTCCTATTCATTCCCCTTGTCGGTGACCCAAGATTATGGACTCTCCCAGGGGCGGACTTACAACTCATGGGGCCTCTGGGCAATAGGGGATCATGGGGCCCCTGTGTCCTTGCCCAAACTCAAAAAAGCCTATGAAAAAGGTACCAGGGGAATCTCATGGGGCCCCCTACTGACCCCGGGCCCTCGGGCAGTGCCCGAGTTTCCAAATGGTCAGTCCGCCCTTGGACTCTCCCAATGTGACTGGTTCTTGGTGATTTGCCCAGAACTGTCACAGAGAGTCAGTATACATGAGCATCCATTGCCCAAGTACCTGGATATATTTTGTTTGCTCTTGCTGGTTGAACATAGCAGCAGAGGAGCAAAGGAAAGGAGATTACATGCTTTTGGGAAGTGGGAGTAAACTTTTAATTTTTCCAAAAGTTGGCAGCAAATTTTGGGTCTCCGTTCCAAGTAGTTGTAAATTAACTCTTTTTGATTCCTTTGCAGCTGCTGCCCCTTGGTCTGATGACGATAAGATCATTAATGGTTATGAGTGTGCCCCAATTCCCAACCTTGGCAGGTTTATTTCACCACTCGTGGAGGACAATGGTGTGGTGGCTCCCTGATCACATCACGGTGGATCATATCTGCAGCTCATTGCTATCAGCCGTAAGTTCCATGATTCTTCTTTGTAGATTGCTCAAATTTGGCAATTCAGAATGCAGCATAAGCAAGTGGCCTAGGGCTGAAGTAATTTGAGTTTCTGAATAGGATCAGAGAATCTGAGGTCAACCATAAAAAGGGGATCTGTAGTTGTCTGAATAATCAGATGTGAACCATCACCTTTTAGGCACACCCACTGTTCAGTTCATGCTTTCCCCAAAAGTGTAGCTAGAGGCAAAAATTTAAAAATGATATATTTGATGCAGCCTGTCATTAACATTAGTGCAGCAGTGTTTGTTTTTCTGATTCCCCCCGACACAGTTTTAGCACCTATTGATTCTGAATGTAATTCCATTATTTTTCCACTTTAACAGGCCAAGTGAGCCGGCAAAAGTGGAAGCTAGAGAGGTTTGGACAATTTGGACAATCCATTTACCATAATGGATGGCTTTTGTTCATATAGTTTAAAATTTCAAATCATTAAAAATAATCCTATGCCTACAAACCCAACTGCCATCTTTTGTCTGTTGTTTATTTATTATATTGGCTGCATATTATATTTATGATACTTTTCAGTAGCGGCAGTAACCACAAAGTCACCCAATACCAAAACTAGGACAGAGTATAATGATTAGAAACAAGTTATTATCTTGCTCAGTGTTCCTCAACCTTTTTCAGTCAAGGCACCCTTTAAAATTATGGACAGTCCTGAGGCACCCTTAAAAATTATGGACAGTCTTGAGGCACCCCATTCTAAAATGTAAAAAACAATTTTAGTAGTTTTATATAATGCAGCAACATCCATGCATGGACACCCAATGCCAGTGATCTATTCTTCCAAATCAAATACACTTTTCACACTGGTCCTGACTAGTATTACATTGTTTCTCTCAGTTTTACTCCATCACTGAGCTAATGTGACCCCAGCAGTGATAGGAGAAGGGCAGGAAAGGGTTAAACAAGGATGCTGTGCAGGCAACTGACATCCTCCTCATCATCTGATGATGTTATTGGTTGTCAGGACTCTGGTAGGTAGAAGGTTGTAATGGCACACAATGAAACCCTCAGGCTTTGCGTAACTAAAAGGCAGGCTTTTTCCACCCACTAGCTTGTATACAAGTTTTGTGCAACGTTTAGACATTTTGCCAAGGCACCCCTGAAGAAACCTCAAGGCACCCCAGGGTGCCTGGGCACCCTGGTTGAGAAAGGCTGATCTAGCTAATAGGGCAAGGTTGGCTGTGAGATCATACTCACCTTTACTGTAATATCAAATGAAGAATATTTAGTAGGTGGTGTTCAAAGGGACTTTTTTTGTAGCTAACATATGCTGGCCTTGTGTTCCATGTTTTTGTTCTACCAGAAAGACTTGAGGTAGCAAAACACAGTCACACACTCTACACCAAAGTCCTGCAAAGTTAACAAATGAATATAGCCAACAGGGGTGGACTGACCATTTGGAAACTCGGGCACTGCCTGAGGGCCCGGGGTCAGTAGGGGGCCCCATGAGATGCCCCTGGTACCTATTTCATAGGCTTTTTTGAGTTTGGGCAAGGACACAGGGGCCCCATGATCCCCTATTGCCCGGGGGCCCCATGAGTTGTGAGTCCGCCCCTGATAGCCAAAGTTCTTTTGTTCATAACTATCCCGTGGGCCATAGAAGCGCACTTAGTTTTGCCCTCCCGATATCCAGATTCAGCCGATTGTGAGCTAAAGCTCACTGCTGCCTGATGTCACAAAGCCATTCCAGGCTCTACAGCAGGGGTGTATTTTTACCACAAGGCAAACAAGGAATTTGCCTACGGTGGCATTTTTCAGGGGGGCAGCAGCATTTTTCAGGGGGACAGCGCTATCCCCCAAAAGAAGGAAAGGAAGAAGAGACACACGCAGCACAGGGACCAGGTGGGATCTGAGAGAGGCTGTATGCAGAGCCTGACTCTTGTTCCCGGGGATGTCTGGAGCTGTGAAGGTGAGTGTCTTATCTGTTGTCGGGGTGGGGGGTCGCCAGTGTATGGGGAGCGGTGGTAATGGAAGGCTCTCTCGGGTGGGGGGGGACTGAGATGTTGTTGGTCAAGGGGGGGGAACCTAGGGCAGCACAAAACCTAAATACACCACTGCTCTACAGGGATCCCGACAATGATGGCAGGACCAGCCCACATGCCTGACCGGCAGCTGGCTCGGCCTCTCAACACTGAGAGTCTCAGCCAGCTGCTTCCACCCCCTCCCCAGCCAGTGCTCCAGTGAGCACTGGAGGGACAGAGCACAGAGCAGTGACTGACAGTCTGTGCACAGGGAACACCCAAAACTGAACGATCAGCGGTCCTTGATCACTCCGTTTTCAGTGTTAGAGCTGGTAGGGGACAGATGCAGCATTGGATTGATTCTGCAGCCATCTAGGTGAGTATGTATTATTATTTTCTTTCATTCTCACACTTCTCTTTTAAATTGTTTAGCCATGAATATTATTTATAGAAATCCTCTACATTGTGCACATTATCTGTAGTCATCCTATGATTATTGAAGTATTTTGATATCTACAGTTCCTCTTTATTCTTCTATCCAATGTATACAGGCCCCGGGACCTGATTGCTCACCTTGGGGAACATGATGTTAGTAAACAAGAAGGAACAGAACAACGTATCCAGGTGGAAAAGGCTATAATGTACTCCGACTATAACGAAAAAACCTTCGATTATGATTTCATGTTGGTCAAACTAGCCGAGCCTGCCCAGTTCAATAAGTACGTTCAACCCATCCCACTAGCCACATCCTGTCCAACAGTAGGAAGCCAATGCCTGGTGTCAGGCTGGGGAAACATGAGGATCATTGGAGGTAAGTTCAATTTCTGGGCTTTATAAATAATTGTTTTAAGGCTCCATGCAAACTAACATTTTTTAATAAGCTCCTAGGAGCTGTTATTAGAATTTTTCTGATTCTAGAAACTACATAGTATTATCCTATGTGTTCATGCACACTTCTTTAGGCTGTTAGTGTTTATTGAGCTTCAGCTTTTAGAAGCAGAAAATAAAATTGTTTTTGTAGAGTTTTTTGGAGCATTTTTCCAGCAGAAAAAAAATGCTAAATGCTACAAAGCGGTACTAAAATGTTCCTAACAGCTTTTTTCTACATGTATTGTAAAAACGCTACTAAAACGCTAACACTCATAACTGCCTCTAAACACTTCTAAACACTACTAAAATGCTACTAAAAATGCTATTACCAGTCTTCTTAGCTCAAAAAAATGCTAGTGTGCATGGAGCCTAAAGCTGAACATTATTCAGTAAAAACATCAAATGCAGTTAATCCATTGAACCAGCAAACACAAATGCTCCTGCGTTTGGGGATGGACTCGATGCAGGCTACAACCACATTAAGAATGTCCTGGAACATGCACACCTTGCTGTCCTCAAATAGACCAGGGAAATCCAAATATACTGAATGAGGAAAGAAAAAACAGAGGGCGCACAGGCCTAGTGCATTACCATTAAAAATGTTTAATAAAAAAATAAAGTAGGTGTTGTACTCACAAACGACAATATAGTCAAGGCACATCATAAAAGAACAGCTTAATCAACACTGCGCTGAGTAACAGTCCGCAATAGGGAGTGTAGACATCCAAAAGGCTGACGCGTTTCAAGGACTTGCCTCTTATCCGGTTACTCCATTGCCCTAATTAAAAAAAAAAACTACACAAAATAAAATAAACAAGCAATTGCGTAAATTGACGGCGCTATAGAAGTACCTGAAATAAATAAATAAATAAATTAGTGCAAGGAGGACCTAGTTTAATATCAGACCTGTATAACCTGCATTGCAGCAGACTGGTAAAGAAAGGTCAAGGCTGAGCTGCATTGGAACATGTAATAACTACAAACATGCTAAAAGGAGGAAACAGGAGGACGCTCCTCTTTCTTGATCTGTAGGAATATATATATATTTTTAAATGATATGTGTAAAACAAGATCTTATGGCATTATGTCATAATTCCAGTTCCAGAGCTTGCACTTCACTTGGAGGGAAGACCAGTATGTATTATTTACTGACTTGGCACTGGTAGGTTGTCCAGAAGTCTAAGAATTACTTACCCGTGATGTTCTACAATGCCAGGCATGGTAGGAAAGGTCAATCATCAATGGGCAAACCACAACACAAAACTAAATATTGCTCCAAAGCAAATCACCAAAACCTCCACAACCTATAATTAAAAAGTCTTGGGCTGGCCATACATTATACAATTTTCTTGAGAATTTTGCTTTAGATTTACCAAAAACCTTATAATATGAGGTCAAACCTAACCAACACTTTCAATTGTATCCAATTAGGCAGGCCCTTGCACTACATAGTTGAAGGTAAATCTAAAGGAAATTGAATAAAAAAATTGTATAAAGTATGGCCAGCTTTAGATATGTGAATTAATATATTTTAGGACCATGTGTTTTAGAAGTTAGGCCTCCCCTATTGATATGCTAATTAACCTGTTGGGCAGAAATTGGACAGAAAATTGTATAGTGTATGGCCAGCCTAAACCTTAATAATGTGTAAAATGAATTACACAATAGCCCTCCTCCTTGGCCAATAAGATGAATTAAAGCAAACCCATGAACCTCATTCTCTGCAAGGATTAGAAAAATGCACATCATTCATAATGCCCCTCAAGACAACTACCAATAAAGAGCTGGCCATTCCCCGCCATGATTCATTACATAACAATATATTCTTAACAGGACATATAATTTTATAAAATTATAAGATTATTAAACATAAATCAACTGAAGTTGGAAACACACAACAACATGAGAACTAGCAGGGGTAAATAGATCTTTGAGTTAACATAGGAAGTGAGCAGAGGACACAGGACATCTCCTGATCATATCAATTTGTTACACTTATATATAACATTGCAAAGTATTTTGTTATATCTGTTTTATATTTATTATACCAAAAAAGAGCAAAAAAGGAAAGTGAGAGCTTACATACACTTTAAGCCAAAAAATAATGCCACAAACCATAATTAAAAGGTCTTCAACGTAATAATGAGTAAAATGAATTACACAACCCACATGGAAGAAAAATATATTTGAAATATATTTAAAAAATATTCTTCCCAAATATATTGCCATATTTGAAATGCTACAATTTTGGCAATATTCAATATAATTCAAAATATATTTCAATAAACATATATATGGCTCCAGGTCCCAAAATGGACTTTACAAGCAAATGAGGAAAGTGAAAAGCCACTTTCCTCTGCTTCAAACAAGTACCTTGGAGCCCCTCAACCTGCCTTGTTGAGAATCCCAGGTGAAATATCCTTTTTATATCGTGACAGCCACACTGTCATAATATATATATATATATATATATATATATATATATATATACTGTATATATATATATATATATATATATATATATATATTTAAAAGCAATCAGTACCAAACACTCACTGTATACATTCAGAAAAGGAAGGGGCAGGTAAATGATATATTTACTGGCCTCTTACCCCACTCTTTATCCTGAAACATCCCCAGCAGCCAGCGGGGTAGCGGGGAAAGAGGAAGGCTGGCAACGCTAGGAGCCATGGAGGGGTAGCAGAGTTCACGGGGGCCTGGGAGCAGCAGGAAACAGGTAACCTGGATAGGAAAGGTAGCATATAGAGGAAACCTATGCCTTCCATTTTCTCCTGCAGCAGCTGAACACTGACAGGAGGGAGAAGAGGAGAAGCGGGCATTCAGCGACTACAGAGAGAAAAATGGATGGTATTGGTTCCTCTAAATCCCACCCCAACTGCCCCTCCTGTCCAATAAAACCAAATATGACAGGGAGCCACACGGGCCCCTTGGAGCATGCTGCTGGGTCACAAATGCAACTCCGATAACTCCTATAGCTATGCCAGTGGTTAGAACTTACATACATTTTAAGCAAAAACTATTTCTGGGCCCTGCAAAGCACAGGTTGACTTCAAATCAGTTTGAGTTCTTCGGTCTTCAGTTTGTTACTCTGGTTCCTTGAAGTGTTTTTGTCTTTTTCACGCTTTCTCTGCCACCATTTATTTGAAGATTTCAGTAGAGCAGGGAAGGGTTATGTATTATGTCATGTCTTTATTGCTGTCCATTTCCCATTGCAAGAATATTTTCACTTTCTGCATGGTCACCAGGATATGAAGTGTAGGGGAAAATTCCTTAATGCAAAACTGAACACAACTGTTTTAGCTGGAACTCCACTTTAATGAAAACACGTTCACGAGAGCCGCTCACCCAAAACCACGACTAGGAATAGCCTTTCATCTATTTTATTCAGGAGGTAATCTCCTGCAGTCCCCCTTCTCCCATCTTGTTATTCATTGATTGTGAATTTTAGACAAATTCTTTCATCTAAAACATTGTGTCTTTCTATCTAACTTGATCATTGCGATCCTTTTGTTATCTCCTCCATGTTGTATTTTTGATTTGTTTTGTCTTTTTGATCCTAATAAAAGTTATGGAAAAAAAAAAAAAAAGAAAACACGGATTTAAAGGAAAGGTTTCTCTCGTGATCTCCCAAAATAATGTAAATGATAATGTAAAAACATTGAAGTATATAACATCACCCATATCTTAAATCACAATACTTTATAACAATTTAGTATATATTATTTTTTTTTTTTTTAGTACAATATGCCACAAGATTACAGTGTCTCGATCTCCCTGTTTTGTCGGACTCCAGCTGTAGATCTTCTTATCCAGACATGATCACTTCAAATATGTTTTGTGCTGGTTACCTAGAAGGTGGCAAAGACTCATGCCAGGTGAGTACTAAAGATATATAGTAATATGAATATTCATAAATGTCTTTATATTATATTTTAGAATAGTAAGTATGTCCATAGTCATTATGACTGCTATAGGACCAATGGCAGAACTACTTCTTGGGTTATGGGGGCCCAGTGCAGAAAGGGGCCCAGTCAGGACCTGAAGTTGTGCCACTTATAGCAGAACTAAACCCATCAATTTTTTGGTTTCCCAGAACAGTTATATGCAAGGCATGCCATGAATGATAACTGTCACAGTTTGTGCTCTCAACCGAACTGTCAAGCCATTAATTGACTGGTGTCATAACTGATCACGTGAGGCACTGAGGCAGCTGCAGATCAGAGAGGAGCTAAGATGGCAGCTTCTTTGGCTGCAAAGGATAGGAGGGTTTAGTTCAGCTTTAATTTCTGTTGCTCGCCATTCTGTCACTTACTCAGTTGTTAGTATTGTTCTGTTACTCCCTTTTGTCTTCACTGTCAATGTGAGGCAAGTGCAGGACTTGGAGATGTGGAATTATCCCCTCCCAAGAGGAGTATTATCATTATCACTGCCACCAGTGAAGCTGGGGAAGGGGGGGGGGGGGGGGTTATGATTACACTCTATATTTGTAACCCCTTCTTTTCCAAGTTTCATTGGTGAAATTGTAATTTAGATTGCTGACTTGTGTATGCAAAAAACTTAACTATCAGTGGTCTTACCTTTAAGTATTTTCCTGCATTGATGTACCTCTTTTTTCACAGGGGGATTCTGGTGGACCACTGATCTGCAATGGAGAGTTGTATGGAGTGGTCTCCTGGGGTAAAAACTGTGCCTGGCGTGGATTTCCTGGTGTCTACAACAAAGTCTGCATCTATTCTGACTGGATTAAGAACGTTATGGAGAATAACTGAAGCCAATATTATACCTAAGCAAACGTAAAATAAAGCATAGTGCATGTTCCCAGCATCTCCGAGTGTCCGTATTCCTTTTACTGCCTTTGGTTTTTGCATATTGAATAACAAAGCGCAATAAGTCTTTAAGCCACCAAGTTTTTTACACAAAGAAATGGTTATATTTTTACCAAGCCAAGGAGCTGTTGTAGTGATACAACTAAAAACTGAGAATCTGTATAGACACCTGTTGTTCAGAGAAGTCTAAATATAGCAGAAAGTAACCACTTAATTTGCAGGTCCATGACTGATACAGCTTAGCCTAAACCAACCTTTTCATTAGGAGCTTTATTCATCCTTCTTAGACTAGCCATTTTATGTCCACCCTATTGCAGACTTACTGCTACAGAGCATGACTGTTGGACTTGCAGAATATCGAGGCTAATACTTACCCCTAATCCATAAAAACCACCACCCTTCAAACCTTCCCCACCTAAATGACCACGAGGCTCTCTTTTTGGTGTAAAACCAGCCATAGCAGCCCATTTATTTAACATAACTCAAACATAACACTTCTTACAGTACACTCAAATAATAACTGACAGTAATGATCCCAACCGGGTCCAAGGTCTTCCAAGGCACTGTTACTCACATCAATAACTCGGCTGTATCTGACACCCAATGAAAAGGCCCCCAGCCGCTACTACACCACCTCGGGGACAATACTACAGCTACGTAGTCCCAGATACAGCCAATGAACTCCCACCTTACCAACATGACCTTTTAATTGGGAAGGGACACCCATACCTACGATGGGCCCAACCCATAATCCACCAAATGGTCACTCCAGCACCGCCTTCAAAGACACAGGGACTCCTGCCAGCTGCCATGACAAAACAAACAGACAAACACCTCGGGACACAAAAAGCCGTTCTGAACAAGGAACCCACACAAAACAAACACAGGACAAAGACAAAGAACAAACCAAAACAGCAAAACAAAATACGAAAAAGCTCCAGGGAGGGAGGGCAGAAGAAACCACCCCCGTGCTAGCACAAGCTCCAACTGACCTCCGACAAGACCCAACCCCCCTCCTAATCCTGGCAAGACCACCCCAACTCTAATCAGGTAAGTAACCACCCCTTACCTCCTGCATAAACTCCTACCCAGAATACACGCTCCGCCTCGTCTGCAAGCTCCAGTCATGCTGGCCCTCCCTTTTAGCTTCGCTCAGTCCAGGCCTTGACTGACGTTCAGTATATAAATGTGATTTTGCACTTCCGTTGTAGGGGGGGTGCGCGCGTGCTGTTGGAAGCGCCGCTTTTGCTGTGATTGGACACAGCAGAAGCCGGTCAACAGGTGCCGGCCTGTCAATCTCTGTCAAGGCAGGGGCCGAGGAACGGACAGGCAGGCCTAACAATGTAACGCACTGGCTGACGACAACCACCACCCACAGACCGAAGTCCCTCAGGGTGCGGAGTCTAAGTCCCAGGCTGCCCTTCACCAGGGCCCCTGATGGTGGGGATGGACTTGACGCAGCCAGGAACCAGGTCACGGCCCCCGAGACACCTCAGCTGCAGTAATGGCCGCCGCCAATGGCGTGTAGCTGGTGGAAGAGACAAAAGAGTAGTCAGACAAGCCGGGGTCAACAACAACAGGACAAAACAGTACAGGACAGCAGACGAGAATCACAGGTCACGAGCCGGGTTCAGCAACAGAGGGTCAGATCAAAGGAGAATACAAAGAATAGTCGAGTCACAAGCCGAGTCAGCTTCCAGGAGAGTCACAAGAGTCAGAACAGAGTAATAGCAACACAAAGACACAAGACACAAGTGCAAAGAGCATGTGCGGGCCACAGGCTTATATGTCATCAGCCAAACCCCTCTGGGGGATGGACCACAGAGACCTGAAGGCATGAAAGGATTCCCACCATGCACAGCAGAATCCAAGATGGACGCCAGCACATGGAGTAACATAACCTCAGGGAAAAGGTAGGACCTTGACAGTCTCCGATCGGCTTCTTCGGCCCAAAACCGGCATATGCGCAGTTGCTTCAGGGATACATATCTTCACGGGTCCGGGATACTCATTTTACCTCGGGGGCAGCTGTCAACGTGCCGGTAATCTGGGATCACCCCAATAACTGGCTAGGACCTTAACAGAGCCCAGAAGCTCTGCTGGCATCCTGCTCCTGCACCCCCTGTGATGGTGTCACCCAGTGCGTCCCCCCTAGGGATGCCACTGCTGAGGAGACAGACAGAACATAGCTCTACCTATGTTAACAAAGCAGAGCTGTGTTCTGTCAGCAGCGATCTGCTAGACTTTCTTTCCCTGCAAAGCAGAGAATAAAATCTAGCACATTGCTTAGTAAAACCAGCACACACAGTCAGAGGCGGACTGACCATTTGGAAACTCGGGCACTGCCCGAGGGCCCGGGGTCAGTAGGGGGTCCTATGAGATGCCCCTGGTACCTTTTTCATAGGCTTTTTTGAGTTTGGGCAAGGACACAGGGGCCCCATGATCCCCTATTGCCCGGGGGGCCCCATGAGTTGTCAGTCCGCCCCTGCACACAGTACACAAAAACACTTGCTAGGCACACAGTTAACCCTTTGATCGACCATAGATGTTTAACACCTTCTCAGCCAGTGTCATTAATACAGTAACAGTGTAGATTTTTAGCACTGATCACTGTATTAGTGTCACTGGTTCCTAATAAGTGTCAATTAGTGTCAGACTGTCCGCAGCAATGTCGCATCCCACTATAAATCATTGATCACCACCATTACTAGTATAAGAAAAAATCCAGTATATATATATTGTAGTTTGTAAATGCTATAACCTTTGCGCCAACCAACATATCAACATATGATTATTGGGATTTTTTCAAACCAAAAACATGTAGCAGAATACGTTTTGGCCTAAAATTTATGAAGAAATTAGATTTTTTTTTTTTTGGGGATATGATTTCTAACAGAAATTTATTTTTTTTTTTTAAATATCGATCTTTTTATTATTTATAGTGCAAAAAAAAACCCTGAAGTGATCAAATACCACCAAAAGAAAGCTCTACTTGTGGGAAAAAATGACATAAATTTAATTTATATAATAGAGTGTTGCATGACCGCGCATTTGTCATTTAATGTAACCCAGTGCGTATAGCAAAAAATAGCCTGGTCATGAAGGGGGGTGAATCTTCTGGAGCTGAAGTGGCTAGAGATGGCTGATGGTGCGAAGTTCTCATGGTGAGCACTTTGGCAGTTCATTCATTCTTCCTGCTGTCAGGTAACTGCCTGCCCAATACAAGGTATTACTGAGAGTATGCAGGAGCCTGAGACTGAATCTGCAATCTGCTGATTGTGGGTGCAATGCTCCTTAGAAAAAAATGTGCATTTATTATTTTTTTGAAAAGGTGAACCTATCCTTTAAAGCCTACTTTCATCTTTTTTTTAAAAAAAAAAAAAAAGTGAGGCCCAATATATACAAAAAAATAAAAAAGTATCTCTGACTGCAATACTCACCTTCTGTTGTTTTCTTGCAGTACCTATTCTCCCCACAAGATGCCAGGTTTTGGGACTAAATACCATCTATTATCATTCAAACCACTTCCTGTTAGCCTAGGCTGTCATGGACACACCTCCAGGAAGCTCACTTATAGACAGAACAGCGCTCAAACGTTATTGCATGCCATGCTGTCCTAGACTGAGGATCTGTAACATCAGCAGACCAGCCAGGAGGATGCAATAAATAAATAAAAAAAATACATAATTTGATATTTTTTTTTAAGCTGGGTTGGAAGCACAATTTTAACCGCTTCCCAACCTTGCCAAAAGATGGCTATAGCATGGCTCTCTCCAGTTCCAGGAGGGCATCCAAGGACCATATGATCAGAAGTGTCTAATCACAGCTGATCACATGTACACAGACTTGCCAGTTATCGGTATTCATTTCTTCACAGGCTGTCTCTGTATGAGGAAAGGAGAGCCGATAACCAGCAAGTCTGACAGGGCACAATGAGTACATTGTTTGCACTCATAACCCGGTACTAATGTGCAGCCCCATCAATGCCAATCAGTGTCCATCAGTTCAGCTTATCGGTGCCTATCAGT